AAGCAATTATGAAAGCTAGAGGAACAAGAAGCAGTGCATTCATTTATTAGTAGCAAATTACACTAAATGATCTTAGCAAATAAGGCAAAATGTCAGTTCAGTGGCTGGCAGAGACACATGTCAGTCCTTCCTGCCAGCACCCCGAGACTAGGGCTCATATTCTGCAGAAACTATTTAGGAGAGACTATTGAAACACAAGAGGCAGGATGGGAACCTGACAGCCTGTGAATTTGGGGACTAGGTAGGTAAACCCCAGCTAGATACAGTTTGAGCCTGAGGAAGGATTCAAGGCCAGAGATCTGCAGGCAGACAGTGAGGCAGTGGTAGAGGAGAGAGGCCCTGCTCTGATCATTCTGAACATGGCAGGCCTGCAGAACAGTAGCAGTCCCAGGATATCCTGGAGCAGAAGCAAATCGGAGACAGGGAGGGAAGGAAGCAGGAAGATCATGAAGGCTGCTTGCTTGAGCTTGGCACACACGCACAGACTGAGGGCTGCCAGGACCAGGACAGATGGTCCTCGTCTCATGGAGAACACAATGCTAGAGGGGGGGACAAAGCCAGAACCAGCCACATGACTGTGCACATCTGGTGGCCTGGGGGTGACAAGGGAGAAAGACACAAGGAGAAAGGGAGCGGGAAGGGCCCCTCATTTCCTTTACTGAACTGAAAGGGACTGAGCCATCGTCCATGCCATCCTTCCTCATTCTGCCAGAGCCTGGGTACCTAGCCCAACCGAGGGCAGGGACTTGGGATTCCTGCTCTCCCCTGGGTCCCACAACACAGGGAACAGGACCCCTTCTTCTCCACACTAACCATGATTGTGTCCCTCAACCTTCCTTGCACCTGTATTTTCTGTGTATCCTTTAGTGAGAACACAAACGCCTCTTGGTCTGATTCAGTGACCACTGAAAACAGCTGGCTTATCTCAGGTGCCTGGTCTCAAAGATCTCTGCTCAGGGTTGTCCTCTGAATCTTATTTTGCATTAACTTGTATGGTCAGCTAGAGCCCCTGGGGTATGCACATGAAATATTTAGCAATGATCTCAACCAAATGCACCAGAACTTATAGGGAAGGAGCCCAGGTACCTCTATTATTAAACATTTCCTAAGTGATTGTAATGTGCAGACAGGGTTAAAAACCAGTGGATTAATGGGATCCAGGGCTGTATCACTAGGAGCACAGCACTCAGGATCAAGGAGATGAGAGTCTGGCTGATCAATTATGAGCTGAAATATTACAATCCATGCCAAGGCCTCAATCTAAAAGGATGAAACAAACATGTCCAGAGGATGGCAGTGGGGATAGAGAAATCATATCAGCTGAAGGAGGTTAAGGGGATGGGGCTATTTTGTTGCTTAGATGCTGAGGAAAGGCTGGGGACAAAGGCCATAGGTACTGTTTGCCCCATGAAACCCAGGCTTTCCTATGCTCTCAAGCACCATCTCATTAGTGATGACATAGTGTCACCATAATTACCTGGAGCTGGTGGAGCCTAATGGCTAGTTAGGAACCAAGTGCCAGAGATTTAACTTGCCCTGAGGCCCCTGTACCCAGCGAGGTGCTGAGGAACCGCCCCCCTCCATTATGCTCAGGTATTCCAGGTGTAGGATTCAGGGCTCAGCTCAGCCCCAGCACACACTCAAACCCCTGGTGGGGTGGGAATTCCCACTACCCTTGCTGCCCTGTCTAGAATCAGTTTCGCTGGTGGCCTAAGTATTATTTGCTTGCACATTCTTGCTGCCTCCGAGACTGGCTAAAAAGGCAGCCCAAACAACTGGTAACTCTACCAACATTTAAAATGCACAGGTCTGTGACCCCAAGATTCTACTTCTTGGGCTCCATACTGTAGAAACTCTAGTACAAGTTCACATTATTTATATCCACACTACATATAGGAACTGGCAAAATATATTTTAGAACTATGAGACCTGGTCTATATTTTGAACTGGTCAGAGAGCTGAGGGGTGGAGCCTAGCTCCACAGTGACTGGGCCTGTGGGCATCTCTTCCTCTCCCACCGCTCTGGACCACTTTCCCCTTCAGCTCCTGCCTTGTGGCAGTGGCTGCCTCAGTTCCTGGGGAGCTATCTTCATGTTTCTGGGACCCCAGTCTTGGAGGTGAATGTGTCTGCCTCCTGCTGGATGAGGCAGAACTATGAGATACTATGTAGCTATTTAAATAAAATGAGGGAAGTCTTTGCAAGAAGCTAGACACAAAATAGTATTTACTATACTGTAGGATTCCACTTACATGAAGTTAAAGAACAAGCAAAATGAATCTATGGTGAAAGCAGCCAGAATAGTATCTCTGGTGGGGCTATTGACTGGGAAGTGTGTGTGGTATGTGAGAACATGGGCCCTTTCCCAAGCTCCAACCTCACCTCCTACCCTGTGAGAATATGATGAAGGCCATTTGTAAGTGGACAGGACAGACCTTGGTCAAGAAACTGCCAAAGAGAAACTGTTGCTAGATGTGAGCCTGGACTAGAAACAACTGCCGAGAAACAGCTAGTGTTTTGATCGCACACAGTTTGCGCATGACTACATGGCCCCGGGGGCCGTTTGCTGTTTTCTATCCTCAGTATAACCCTGTGCTGGGAAAGCCTGTGTTGCAGAAAACTTCACTGGCGGGCCACCACTGGTGCACATGTAAGTCCTAATAAACCCATGTTTTTCACATAACAAAGGGACTCTGGGGAACTTTCTGAATCCCGAAAGTGTTTTATATCTTGACCTGGATAATGGTTACATGGGTAGTGATACTTGTGTGAAAATTTATGGAGCTATACACTGAGGACTGGTATCTTTTAAACACTAGATGTATGTTACCCCTCATTTAAAAAAATGAAGAAATAGAAGAACTGACTTGGGAAAATGGTAAAGAAAAAAACAAAAAGTTGCAGAATAATATGTATGACTTCATTTTTGTAAAGATGTAACTTGGGGAAAAGTCTGGAAGAACAGCAAACCCTTAACAGTGCTCCCCTCTGAGTGAGGGCTGGAGGTGAGGACAAGCACTTCACACATCTCTCTATTGTTTGCATTTGTAGCATTTGAATCTGCTGCCTCCACCCCCATCCATCCTGGCTCCTCACTTCTAGTCAGCCTCCAGCTTCTCTGTGGGTTCCCTGCCCTTAGAGGCTTGGGGTTTGGCTACTCAGGCAAACTTTGGTTCCACCTCTCAGTTTAAGATTTGGGCTTTGCAACAGGATATGTGGACATCACCCAGCTCTGATCAGCCGTGGTCTCTTGCTCCTGGGATGAGCAAGGTCGGGTGCCTCCCCATGAACAGACCCCCAGAAGGCGGCATTCACGCCTGTGAGCAGAAGCAGAGCCTCTAAAGGAGAAACAAGCAGGTATAGAAAGGCAGAGTGACTCAGGGCCCCTGGCCACGTGTTTTCATTCCTACCCAGTCTCCTCCCTCTGAGTGGTCAGATACACTAATTGGTCTTCACAGCCTTGGTTACAAATGGTCCTGGAGGTGAATTCCAGTCACACCTCAAATCAGGCAAAACGATCCTTGCTCTGTCCCCTTTTTGAAATGAATGTGATTCCTGCAGGCCACAGCTGGCAGCACAGTGAAAACTATTTCTCTGTTAAAATGGAGGAGTTGGAAGTTTGCCCAGAAAGGGCAACTAAAAATACTGCTCTCTGGGATACGTGGCAAGTGGGACCTAGTGGCTACCTTCCTGACCCCTCAGTAGGCAGGGCAAGTCTCTCACCTGCTGGGTCACGCCCAGAAGCATTTAATGCAGTGGCATGTCTAAGCCTTAACCAAGCCCCATCAGAAAGAAAAAGCACTGATAATCGTACCTGTTTTACAGATGGGCAAACTGGTTCAGACAGCTTCTTCTACAGCACTCGGCCCACAAAACCGCTTAGGGAGCAAGTGTCAAGCCTTGATGGCAGGGAGGACAGTGCTCCTGTGTGCCCAGCACTTGGTGGTTTGCAGCGTCTTCTTACCGCCTGTCCAACCCTCGCAGAGTTCCTATGAAACGAACTACCATCCTCCTACCTTACAGACAGAGCTGGGGCCCAGTGAGGTGATCAAACCCAATGTGGGGGGTGGGGAAGTAGAGGCAGAGACTCCCACAGACCTTTTGATTCTAAAATCAGTGGTGGGATTTCAAGCGAGGTGACTATCTCAGTCCCAGGTCCACCTACTTTATAACAAGTGTTCCAGTTAGTAAGGAATGTCACACTTTTCAGAAGAGGACTCATCATCCCAACTTAATAGATAAAAAAAAATTAAGGTTCAGATGTATGAAGGACTTGGTCAAAGGCAGTAGCAGGCACAAAGGTCGTGTCCTGACCCAGCCCTGGCTCCTCCTGCGCCCAGGGCCTGTGGAGCAGCCCCGGGACCAGCGGGACCAGCGCTGGGGCTGAGACTTGGGTGCCCCAGGGCACACTGAGCGCAGTGCACCCTGTCAGCTCCCACATCCCCAAGCCTGGTTCTCTGGACAACTGTTTGCCTGCCACGTTCGCCCCTTCTTCTCAGTCTTTGGAGTAAGGCCCAGGGAAGCTAAATGCCTTGCTCAGGGTTGCAGGGCAGAACAAGGTTCTGGATCTCAGACTCAGGCCTGGTGCCCATTCCATGGGGTCAGTCAAGAACAACATGCAGAACTCCTTTCCTGGTATCAGTTTCCCCATCTGCAAAATGGAGCTTTAGTAGAGATCCTAAACAAACCTAGGGTAGGAGTCTTCTGAGACAAAGAAATTAAGGGTTATTTTAGGAGTGGGTGAAGACTCCTACAATGACCAAAGGGCCTGGCTTTCTGCAGAGCCAACTTCACTTTACCAAGAGGGAAACTGAGGCCAGGAAGGGAGCTACATGGCTCTGGAGACCCAGTGCTATAAGGATGGTGAGAGAAAGGAGATCAGCCTTGATGTCCAGGAGGGAATCCTTCCTGCTGGGTCCTGAAGCCCGTCCTGTTTCCATACACAATACAGGAGATCAAAAAAAAAAAAGCCTTTCTACAAAGGTATTTATTTTTCCCTAAATTCACTCCCAGTTAAGGAAATTCCTCAGAATCCCACGTTTAAATTAGAAATCCCCACATCTCCCATTGCTGGTGAAGGGAGATATGTCAGTGGGAAGACATCAGAACAGCAGAAGTTTCTTCTACCGGAGGCTGGGGGCTGGCCAGAGACAGGCCAGGACATGTCTGCCCAGCCGCAGAATAGCACCATGGTGGGGGAAGGGAGGAGGGGCTGTACCTCACCCCAGCGGACCCAGGTTTCCCCTTTGCTGGGCTCTTGGGGTCTGTTGGGCCTAGCCTGATTGCCCACCTACTCATCCTGGAAAGACACTTTGGGGACCATCAGCTTCTCACTGGTTGTAGTGAGAGGCTCCATCCCTCTCTCCAGGTTTCTACCTCCCCCCTGCCCCTCTGTGTAAGAACTAGGGATGGGATGGGGGTGAGGTACCTAGGTAGCTAGGGGCACAGGAGGGTACAGGAGGGAGCAAGGCAGGAGTCCCTCTCATGAACCATTTCCTCAGTTTTCCAGCTATACAGCAAGCTTCTCCAGGGAGCAGCTTGCCTTTTAAGGAGGGTTCCCCACACCTAGCACAGTGCTGATACCCCACGGGTGCTCAGTGAACATTACTTGAATGGATAAACAAAAGGTGGAAAAAGCAGAACAGAAGCTGATCCCCCTGAGACCCAATGTGACCAGCACATGCTTCCCATGGGGACAGTAGGAAGAGGGGGGCTCACAGGGCACAGACCAGGGTACCATGGAAGAGACTGGACCAGGGGAAGTCTGTACGTGTTCCAGCACGTGCACCTGCACACCCGGGGAGCAGACCTATCTTCACTTAGTGGTGGAGGGAAAGGCCAACCTTGGGGCCAGCGCAGGGGAGGCTGCATTGCCCCATCTGAGGAGATAGGGTTATGGGCAGGTCAGGGGAAGGCTGAGAAATGATAACTAGTATATCAGGGCCAATGGAGAAACAAGGGGAGAGGTGACTATGTATCATGTCTTTGGAGAAATAAGGCAGAGGATCAGTCTGAATATTGTGTCCTCTAGAGAACAAAGGCAGCCAGATGGTCCATGTAGCATATCCAGTGGAAAAACAAAGTGGTAGGGTGGTCTATGTATTGTGTCCATAAGAAATAAGGCAGCAGGATGACTTGGGAGTCATGTCCATTGAAGAAATGATGCTGTGGGTAGTCTATGTATCACATCCTTTGCAGAATGAGTAGACCCGCCAGGGTGGGAGCCATCTGTTGGGGGCAGGGAAGCCCCATCCCAAGGCTCACACTGAGGCCTCAGAGTAGCCAGAGTGGGGAGCCCAGGGCAGGGGCAGCAGCTTCCTGGTCCTTGTGGTCAGGCTATTTCTTGTCCATCACCTGCATTTTATGAAGGGAAGAAAACAGAGGTGGAAAGCATTAAGTGCAGGAGTTCTACTCTTGGGAGAATGCCAGAACCCCAGGCACATGGGGGTGTGTGTAGTGGCCAAAGATGTCCAGCTAGCAGTCCCCAGAGCTAAGCACCTCCTGGAGGCCCAGAAAGACACAGAAACAGGAGCTGGACATCAGACAGACCACAAGGGCGCCTGAGGCAGACTGCCCAGTCCTCAGGGACCTTGGTCAACCTCCATGGGTCCACTCACCCCAAACACTTCCCTCCTCCTGGCTCCTCTGCCTGGCACACTTTTCCCTTCCCGTCTCCCCCGGCCTGGCTCACTTCCACCTGCTAGCAGGAACCCCTCCACCCTCCCTTCCCCACCCGGTCTCCCTAACAGCCGAGCTGCCGGGAGCCTCCTTTCCCCTGGCTTCCTGCCTCCATGTAAGAGGCAGCTCATGGTTTCACAGTCCTGGTCTCACCCCACGCCCTGGCCTGAATGCAGAGTTTAGAACCCCTTCCTCTCCCATTCTTTGGGGTTCTGACTGTCCAGGAACCCCAGTCCCTCTTGGGGACTGCCTCTGTGCTTGTCCAGCAAGTCCAGAGCCCAGGGCCCAGGGGAAAGGTAAGCACAGGAATGAGCATCCGGGAATTCCTAACAGAGACACCAAGGTGACTTAAAAAAGATTGAAGTTTCCATAACCTTTGGCAACCAAGATCGATTTTCTAGGTGGAAGCCACTCAGATCTAGAGGCAATATTCTGCATCAAGGAATATTTTGTTCAAAATACACACAGAAACACACAGAGATGCATATATTTACACCTAACATTCACACATAGATGTGGCTGTTGGTTACTCAAGACGAAAGAATCACAAACTAACCTCCAACCAACCATTTCCTAAAGTAATTGCTTATTATAACAATATGGATATCAATGACTGTTAACATTTACTAACCACCTATGTACCAGGTGGCTGCCCAGCTGGAAACCACATTTCCTAGTCTCACTTGAGTTAGGAATCATGTGATAGGTTCTGACAATCGGATGTAAACAGAAGTGCCATGAGCTATAACTAGTCAAGCCCTAGAAAAAACCTGTACACCCCCCGCCCCCCGGCTTTGGGGCATGGGGGCGGGGACTGGGGGGTGCGGGAGCTGGAGTAGCCACGTTGGACTTGGGGACAGAAGCTTCAAGTTGAAGAGGCAGAAACCAAGTAAATGGAAGCTGGCTCCAGGACATCAGTGGCCTTAAGACCACCTGTGCTTAGACTGTTACAAGAGAGAGAGAAATAAGCTCTTGTCCTGGTTAAGCCTGTCCTATCTGTGTCCTAGTAGAACAGCTGGGGCCCCTGGGTACTCCACCCTCTGCCACTTCACCAGGGGGTAGTGGAGGTTGCTCATCTGGGGAGCAGGTCACCAGGAAGGGGTGATAATCACTTCCCCAGGACCCTCCCCACCTCTTAAACCCAGGTGCACAAACACACACACACAATCTCAAGTACCACATGTCATTACCTTCTTTGTTTTCCAAGTGTTTCAGAGGCCTCAGGGCTGCAAAAGGAAGGAGCACATGGTGAAGGGGCAACCGTGGCAAGTGGTGGGGTAGAGGGATGGGAGATGAGGAAGCAAGGGTGAGGGACTAGAAGGAGAAGGAGGCAGGAGGATGGGGGCCACTGATACAGCACCATAGAAGGGACCTTAGGCTGCTGTCCCAAGTCCCAGATCCACTGTCACTCCCCTGTCTGGGCCTCAGTTGTCTGCATTTATAGAATGAGAACTACCCTGCCCTCCAGTGAGATAGAGATGTGGTATCTGTCCCACAAATACAGTGAAGTAAGGAGCTAGAGGGGACAGCAGATGGCCCCAGATGGCCCCAGTGTTGTGTGGAACTGACATCGACCAAATGTGTAACCCACTGGCTTCTCCCCACGCCCTCCCTTCTGTCAACTACATCTGTCTCTAAGTGTGAAAACAGGAGGCCTGATCCCAGAGCTTTCTCCACATCTGGACACCAAAGGCAAAGAATTAACTGGCATAATTTATAGCAGTCCCAGGTGTCAGTTTCCTGCCCTTCCTTCTGCGGGTGTGGGGAGGAAGCCACTGTCAACTGGCATCATCCCAAATGGCTCAGCAGGAACCTGCCCCCCCCCGCCCCCCCACCCAGGAGCCAGAAGGGAAGGCAGTGAGGCTCCATGGCCACAGAATATCAGTGCCTTGTCACCCACCCCACTCTGGGCTCCCAGTCTGTGTCCCGACAGCACCAGGACCTTCGCAAAACCCTTTCCTATGCAGTCACTCCAGAGAGCTTCAAAACAAGCCTCTGGCACCACTGGGAAACTGCAGCCGGAGGAGCAAAGCACTCTGACCAGTACCTAACCTGAATGGGACTACTTTTTTAAAATTTTTTCATCCTCACCCGAAGATATTTTTCCATTGACTTTCAGATAGAGTGGAAGGGAAGGAGGGAAAGTGAGTGAGAGAGAGACATCAATGTGAGAGAAACACATTGATTGGTCGCCTCCCACACACCCCCAGCCCTGGGCCAAGGATCAAACCCAAGACCCTCAGTTTGCTGGCTGATGCTCTAACCGCTGAGCCAAGCTGGCCAGCCAGAATGGGCCTATCTTAAACTATATGCCTGGTAACAGGACTCCAAGGCATTGGGCATTTACTATCACCAGGTATGATACTAGGCCTTTATAAACATTACCTCATCTAATCAAACCCACACCACCAACGAAGAGAGGCCGTAATTATGAGGAAACTGAGACTCAGAGATGAGGAAGCTGAGCTCCAGAGAAGCAAAGCTCAAGGCCACTCAGCTTATAGGAGCAGGAGCTGGAACTGAACAGGCTGCCCTATGCCCTGAGCCCTCACCCCCCAGGCAGCCACCAACTCCACAGTGAAGGGTCCCTAGGGGTGCAGCTGGGTGAAGGTGGGCAGAAGGGGTGAAGCAGCACCTGGGAAGGAACCAGATAAGATCCATCTCCAGGCCTAAGGCTGAGCAGAGACCAGACTCACCTGGTGGGGGGGCCTCAGTTCACAGGACACACTTCATTCAGTCTCAAGCAAATGCGGCTCCTCCAAGTCCTAAAGTCCTCTCCCCCGTCCCGGTGTCCCTTCCTCAGCCAGTAAGGCCAGCTACAAGCTTAGACTCACCAGTCTTAGATCCATCTCCATCCCCATCATGGTCGTCAGCTCCTGGAATAGCAAACAAAAACCTTTCTCAGCCCCATGTCCATCACTGCAGTCCCCACCCCCCCAGGGGTTCAGGAGGCAGGTAAATGGGAAGCAGGCCTGACCTATGGTCAAGGGTTAGACACAGAGCCAGAGCTTGAGAACGAGTAGTGCAGAGCAGAGCCCTGAGGCAGAATAAAAGGGCTCCCAGCCTGCAGCCCACCACTCACCTAGCCAAGGCCTAGCTACTCACCTTCACCAATCCACTGACCCCATCATCTCACCCATCTGCTCGCTCACCAATCCAGTCAACCATCACCCTCCATCATGTACACCCACCCATCTGTCAGTCCACTCATCCTCCCATCAGCCCACCGGGCACTAATGCACAGGCATCAGCTGACCAGCCTCTTCCCCATTCAGTATTCACCATCCTTCCTGACACTCAGTCATCTCCTAACTCTCACACTCTACTTTCTTTTTTACCCAAGAAAACCTCTGTTGACCCATGTACCACCCACCAGGGTCAACTCACCCATTCACCAATGTCTATTCCCTCAACTTACTCACCCACCAAGGTCAAGCCACCCATCTACTGATATCAGCTCACCACCACCTGCCAGGCCCCAAAGTCAGCTCGTTCCGACCCCAGCCCAGCAAACAGCAGAAGCTTCAAGCTCTGCCCCCTCTGAGGCAGACACACCCTTGCTAGTGACCCCAACCCATGAAGCATTCACACTTGTGCTAAATTTCCATGTTCTAAACCTGTGCTCTCACTCAGACACACTCATGGGACTTATACTCTTAGTCACACTTGTTTGCACAAACATATTCATCACCTCCTCACACTTTGGCCTTATACACCCACCACTCACTTCCAATCACACTCAACCTGCCACACTCACAGGCAGGCTCACACTTGTTCACATACATGAGACATTCAGCCTCAAGATCATACACACACAACCAAGCCCCACTGGCACACCCACATTCATTCTGTCACTAGAAAGTAACACTCATATTGATGTCACAAGCACACCAACATACCCAAAGACATGTGCACGCCCATGTGCACGCCCCTCACCTGCGTTCTCCTCCTCACAGCTCTGTTTGATTTTTCTCCAGCACACGAAGGCCAGCGCCACCAGCAGTGCAACAAGACAGATACAGAGTCCCACGGTCACCCACAGGGCCTCAGAGGGGAATGTCATGGGCTGTCCTGAGGGGCAGTGGGGAGAAGGGGGAGAAATCATCATCTCTGGTTCCCACGGCCGTGAGGACAGTACCTTCTGGCTCCAAGGTGTTAACGGAGGGGCCTCACCCTCTCTGGGCTCCACCCCTATGCAGAGAGCTCACTTAAGTTCACATGCCCTTTCCCTGCTCGTCCATATACCCTCCAAACCACAACACGGCCTTGGCTAGTGTGGACAAGCCTCAACCTGGCAGGGTGGAAGAGTTTATAGTTGATGATGCTCTAGAACCTTCTATGGCCCCTGCTAAGATGAGAATAATGCTTCAGTATTTTTTTGATTATCAAGGACTTTGATAATCTAGCTGACACTTACCCTTCCCTGGCCTTTGTGTCTAAGTCCACAATAGGAACCTCTGCTCCAGCCAAACTGGTGTCCTGACCATTCTCTGCAGACAACGGTCTCTCTCCAGCCCCTATACAGTGCTGTCAGTTTTCCCTACCTAAAAAGTGCTCCCAAGCGCTCCACCTAACTTAAGTCCACCTCCTCAGGAGGCCTTCCTTGACCACCCGAGCCCCACCTGGTGATATTCCCCACCCTACAGATCAGGAGTCAGCAAACTAAGACCAGTCAGCTAAATCCGGCCTGTGGCCTGTGCTTGGATAGCCCGTGAGCCAACAATGGTTTTTTCATTTGTAAAGTGGAAAAGGAGGAACAGTAGGAGATGGAAAGAAGCAGCAGCAAGAGATGGTGTGTGGCCCACAAAGCCTAAAATATTTACTATCAAGACCTTTATAGTAAGTGTCTGCAGACCCTGCATTTCGATAAGAATGGGACTGAGGGCGCCAGAGCAAGGAGACTTGTCATGGGCATGTTTCTGTGAAATATGGAGGGCCCTTCTGTTAACTATCTCATGCAGACGGAAGGAGCTGAAGTGCCCAAACCTGGGTCAGGGCCAGCAGTTGTTCTAAGCATGCCATCCTCCAGCCCCGTCCCTGGACCCCTGCTGGGTCCTGGGCAGAGGCCTTGGGGACAACAAATGTAACCGAAGATAGTGCTGCTTTCCTGTGCTCTCTGGAGAACACAGGCACCAGGGGCATTAGCAGCCTGGGGCCAGCAGCTCCTGTAGAAGGTGCCAGCTGTGCTGAGAGCAGTGCCCTGAAGTGGAGACCCCGGCACAGACACTGGCATCTGCAGCAGACGTCCTCTTCAGCTGGCATGGCTGGCAAGGCTGTCGCTCTGGACACTGGAAACAAAGTGACCCATCACCCCAATAAGCAGGAGAAGAGGACAGCAGCTGAGACGAGAGATCAGGAGAGCCAGTCCAAGAAGCACACAAGAGACACCCCTGGGGTGCCCAGGGCGGGGCTCCTGCAGGATGACAGAGCAGACAAAGAAATACCCACGGGGAGGAAGACTCTCCTTCTGTGTTCACCCCTAGGCTGGAGCCTGGAACACGGGTAAGATTTGCCCTCATTCAACCAGTGAAGGACAGAGCAGGGCTCAGACTTTTACCTTCAGGCTCCACATCCAGTGCCTGCTCCATCAAGACCCCTCCACACAGCACACTCAGCTTCACTAACCTCCAGCAGGGGTGGGAGAGACTAGGCTAGAGCACTGAAAGTCTGAATCCCAGAATGTTTTAAAAGGCACGAAGCTGCTTGAAGCAAAATACAGGCCAAGGGCTCCAAAGTAGGCCAGACCTGTTCTAATAAAAACAGGAGGCTGGGAGACAGGGAGGAGAGAAAATTACACCGAGAGGCTGAGAGTTGAATCCTGGCCCTGGTTCATCTGCTCACTGCAGGGTGCTGGAGTCAAGGTCAACAGACCCCCATGAATGAGTTTGGAGGCACCATGCACCCTCAAAATTTAAATGCAAACTATTACATTTATCATTTATCCAATTTTCAAAGAGGTGCCTGACCCCCAGAAGAGCCAGAGCCACTGTGCTAGTCTGTGGCCTGGGGCAAGTTCTCTCTTCTCTCAGGGCTTCAGTTTCCTCATCTGTGAAATAAAAGTACTTTAAGGGTTAGTTACTAAAGTTTTAAGTGAAGATTTTTGTCTTTGGTGGGGTAAATGTTCTCTCTGCAATTACATCAATCCTGACAAGCCATTTCTCCAGTGTGGCAAATACCAAATTCAGCTCAGTGTACAAATTACCAGAAAGTCCACTGGTTCTCCAAGGTCCTCTCAACTCTCACTTCATTCCTAGAGAATTCTCTTGACCATTCAGTCGATCTCACTAACTGATAGTTCTTATTCCCTCCTGGGAACACACCAAACAATATGCTGTTCTTTTAAAGGTCCAGGAGACCCCTCAGAAGATCAAAAAGCCTGGGGCAGTGACTTCCCCACAAAGAGCACCAACCCAGGGGTCTCCAGGAATAGGGCGGGGTCAATCTTGGGTAGGGGTGGGCAGAGGGAACACAGCCTTGACAGAAGGAAACACTGAAAAGAGCAGGAGAAAGCCTGAATGTCTAAGGACGAGTGAAGGCCTTGGAAGGTCCAGGTATGCTCAGGAGGAGAAGACAGGTATAAGTTAGTGAATTCTGAGGCTTGTGCAGAAACTGGGTACCAGGTGCAGATCAGGACATGGGTGGGCTGGAGGGTTGGGTGGAAGTCATAGAAAGAGAAAACAGGATAGAACCTGCTGTCCTGACCCCAAAATACATGAGGAAGCCCCTGGGACAGGTCAGCTGGCCTACGAGGAGGAACTGAGAAGCCAAACTGAGATCCAAACACAGATGGAGACTGCCTCCCTTGGCCTGAGTGTGGGCCTGAGCTTGCTTCTCATCTCCAGGCACAAGGAATGCCCACTGAGGTGGGCACTCAAGGAAGGGAAAGGGTATCTGTGCTAGTATCCGCAAACCAGAGATTGTAGTGTCAATCTAGTATTTGACCACAAGGGAGCAGCAGAGAGAGCCCCAGCCATTCCAACTGCTACCTGGGTTAAGAGCTAAATTATACAAGAGCTGACATCCATGGGTTGCTCGGGACTGACCACCTGTAGAAGCCCAGCTGTCTCTGAGGCTCTCAGAATCTGATGGCGCCCATGGATGCAGCAAAGATTTCCCATCACCCAGAGAAGTTCCCATAGGAAAACACTCCTTCATCAGGTCTCCAGACCATGCCTTGGGGCTGCCCCAGAACTCCTGCCCACACCTGGATGCCAGGCAGCTACTTGGTTCCCTGTGTAAGAAGCATGAGTGCCACCTAAGGTGCTCCTAGGAGACCAAATATTGCAAATGCCTCTTATCAGCTCATTAAAAAAAAGTCCCTTAAGGACTTCTTGGAGGAGAGTTTGAGACACCTAAAATGTATGAAAATGGTTTTTCAAGCCTTCTGAGCATCCAAATCTATCTAAATTCCAGCCCAGAGTCTAGAAAAAGGGGGGGGGGGGGGTGGCTTCCTCCATCCTCCCAGCTGTTTGTCCCCTACCTGTGATGGTGACGGAGCCGTGAGCCTCCTGCTGCAGCACAGGGTTGCGCACCAGGCAGCTGTAGGTGCCATTAGCACCCAGCACCACTCTCAGCACACTGCGCACGTCAAACAAACCCTGCTCATTGGCCATCTGCGACGTGGTCACATTGCCCACCAAAGGCACACCCTGTCCGTCCTGCCAGAACACCTCGGCCTCAGGGTAGCCCTGGTAGCTGGAGCACATGATGGTCACCGTGTCCCCAGGCCGCAGGTCCTTGTTGGGCTCCAGGGTCATGCTGGGCTTCGAGTAGGGGGCTTGAGGTGGGCAAAGGGTAGAAATCAAGATAAGGGCGCCTGGAGCTGTGAGTAACGGGGAGTCAGCACCGGGCAGTGGGTAAGGGGTTAGGGAAGTGAGATGAGTGTGCCAAGGGAAGAGCGCCCCCTTCTGGTGCTCACCTGCCACTTGCAGGCTGAGCGCAGCACTGCCAAAGTCTTGGATGCTCACGAAGCAGGTGAAGCTGCCTTCATCAGCCACGCGCACGCGCTGAAGCCTCAGGGACGCATTGCCCTGCGCCAGTAGGTCAGGGAAGAGCGCGGTGCGGTTGGCATAGGCGCTGCCCTGGTCCCGGCCCTGTGTGAAGCTGTGCACCAGCTGTTTGGTGTCTGTCAGCTGCCAGATGAGGCTGAGCTGCGCCAGGCTAAAGCCGGGCTCGGGTGAGAAGGAGCAGTGCAGGGTAGTGTCGGTGTCCACCAGGGCCACCACGGGGTCTTCAGGGACCTGGACCTCCACCGCACCTGAGGGGGAGGTTGGAGGAGGAGTGCACTGAGGAGGGTGGCAACACTCGGCTACAACTCTGCAGCCCCCCTATAACTCCTCCCCAATAAGCCCCAGGCCCCTATCCATCTTCCCATTTTCTCCCCACACCCAAAAGCAGATTGAGTCTCGGGACTCCCTGACATGGAGTCTTCTTCCTAATCTTCTGACAAAAATCATAGCAGGTTGGCCTTGGCCTGACACGGTTCATTCCGAAGCCAGACTGGGGCAGACTCTGGCCCTAGCAAACCCCTCCTCCCATCTGGGACCCACTTCCCTCGCCTTTCCTTCATCCCTGCTGAGATCCAAATGCTTCTCCATCCTTCCAGAAGTCTCCGGAACTCTGAGTCAGGAGACCCAGAGAGGCAATAAGGCCTGTCACCATCTCCCTCACCCCCTATCACCACAGTAAGGTCTCCACGACCCACCCTGTTTCTCTTTCCCGTTCTTACTAGGTATCACACTGTTCTGGAGACTGCAAGTGGGGAGCCCGATTCAGATCCCTCGACCCTGCTGATAGGACCAAACCCTCCCTTCCCTCAGGGTGATATTAAAGCAAAAAAAAAAAAACAAAAAACCTGCAGGGCTTCTGTGGGATGTGATGGTGATGGAACCGTGAGCGTCCTGCTGCAGCACAGGGTTGCGCACCAGGCAGCTGTAGGTGCCATTAGCACCCAGCACCACTCTCAGCACACTGCGCACGTCAAACAAACCCTGCTCATTGGCCATCTGCGACGTGGTCACATTGCCCACCAAAGGCACACCCTGTCCGTCCTGCCAGAACACCTCGGCCTCAGGGTAGCCCCGGTAGCTGGAGCACATGATGGTCACCGTGTCCCCAGGCCGCAGGTCCTTGTTGGGCTTCAGGGTCATGCTGGGCTTCGAGTAGGGGGCTTGAGGTGGGCAAAGGGTAGAGGTTAAGTAAGGCAAGTGCAGAGGGGGCACAGTGGAGGAACAGGGCGCCTCTGGCTGTGAGTAACAGAGGTCAGCACTGGGTAGTGGGCAAGGAGCTAGGGAGGTGATAGGGGTGTGCCAAGGGGAGGGCGCCCCCTTCTGGTGCTCACCTGCCACCTGCAGGCTGACCACAGCACTGCCAACATCCTGAAGGCTCACCAAGCAGGTGAAGCTGCCTTCATCAGCCACGCGCACGCGCTGAAGCCTCAGGGACGCATTGCCCTGCGCCAGTAGGTCAGGGAAGAGCGCGGTGCGGTTGGCATAGGCGCTGCCCTGGTCCCGGCCCTGTGTGAAGCTGTGCACCAGCTGTTTGGTGTCTGTCAGCTGCCAGATGAGGCTGAGCTGCGCCAGGCTGAAGCCAGACTCAGGTGAGAAGGAGCAGTGCAGGATAGCGTCAGTGTCCACCAAGGCCACCACAGGGTCTTCGGGGACCTGGACCTCTAAGGCAGTGCCTGGGGGAGAGACAGTGGGGTGGGGTGGTCAGGATAGGCAGGGACACTCTGTGCCTCTCTAGTCCCCTTCTCCCTCTGAGTTAACTCCAAGCCCCATCCATCTGTCCTTTGAGGCCTGAGAACTAAAATAAGTGTATTGGCTACAGTCCTCATTCAATCAACACAAATATAGTAAGCACCTACTACTTGCCAAGTGTAATAGCTGGGAATGCAAGAGAATAGGACCAAAGTCACACCTCTACAGAGCTGACATTTTAATGGAAGAGAGGGACACACTAGCACACAAATTCTTATTAGCATATGATCAGGGATAGGAAAGAGGAAAACATTAACAATGGATTAGAAAGTACAGTGGTAGCTTTTCAAACACCTGGCAGGTACTTAATACCTGTCTGTGCTGGTTTCATTTTCCCATAAATATATATTATCTTTATAAGGTGGAAAGGGGAGTCTAAAAAAGTATACACTAAAATGTTAGTGGTTTTCTCTGGATGTGAAAGGAATACAAGTGCTTTTTCTTAAATAAACATGATTAGTTTTTATTCAAGAAAAAAAAAAAATACCCATACCTTTAAATATGATAGTGAGGCTATCATCTTAGAGCTATTCAGCTGAAATTTGTAGGGAATGAAAAAGAGCCTGACACACCAGAGGCCCACTACAGCTATCCTGTTCTATAGGGCTGGCCCCTGCACAGCAGCTCCTCCAGTGTAGTCAGAGCCAGTCCTCACAACCAGTCAGCCTGAGGGTCAGTCCCTCCCACTGACATGCTAACAGCAATCAAGGCTCAACTACAAGAGGAAGACACACACAATACACACAGTGGACACACCTGTAACACCTGGCTCAAGTGATCAGGGAAACTGCATCACTGGACCCTACAGAACACACTATACAAGGCCACTCTACCAAGACTGGGAGACACAGCAACTCTACCTAATACATACAAACCAACACAGGGAGGCAGCCAAAATGAGGACACAAAGAAATAGGTCTCAAATGATAGAACAGAACAAAACTCCAGAAAAAGAACTAAACACAGTGGAGACAAGTAATCTACCAGATGTAGAGTTCAAAACACTGGGAATGCTCAGTGATCTCAGTGAGAACTTCAACAAAGAGATAAGAAACATAAAAATGGAGATAGAGAACATAAAAATGAACTGTCAGAAATGAAGGATACACTAACTGAAATGAAAAATACATTAAAGAAAATCAACAGTAGAGTAGATGAAGCAGAGGATCAAATCATGATTTGGCAGATAAGGCAGAAAACACCCAATCAGAACAGCAAAAAAAAAAAAAAAAGAATCCCCAAAATGAGGACAGTGTAAGGGGCCTCTGGGACAACATCAAGCCACATCAACATCTGTAGCACATGGGTACCAGAAGGAAAAGAGAGATAGCAAGGAATTGAAAACAGAAAAATTCCATAACTAGAAAAGAAAATATACATACCCAGGAAAGAATGGAGAGTCCCAAACAAGATAAACTCAAAGAGGCCCACACCAAAGTCTATCATAATTAAAATGCCAAAGGTTAAAGACAAAGAGAGAATATTAAGAGCAGCAAGAAAAAAAGCAGGTAGTTACCTACAAGGGAGTTCCCATAAGACTGTCAGCTGATTTCTCAACAGATACTCTGCAGGCCAGAAGGAATGGACACAAAATATTCAAAGGGATGAAAAGCAAGGACTACAACTAAGATTACTCTACCCAGCAAAGCTATCATTTAGAATAACTGATAGATAAAGAGCTTCTTAGACAATCAAAAGTTAAAGGAGTTCATCGCCATCAAACCAGTATTACAAGAAATGTTGAAAGGTCTTCTTGAAGAAAAAGAAGAAAAAAAAAAGATCAAAACTATGAATAATAGCATGGCAGTAACTACATATCTATCAATAATTACTTTAAATATAAATGGATTAAACACTTCAATGAAAAGACATAGGGCGGATGAATGGATAAGAAAACAAGACCCTTACATATGCTGCCTTCAAGAGACTCATTTCAGATTGAAAGGCGCACACAGAATGAAAGTAAAAAGATGGACAAATATATTGCATGAAAATGGAATTGAAATTAAAAAGCTAGGGTAGTGTCTTGGCCAGTTTGGCTCAGCGGTTTGAGCATCGGCCCACAGACCAGAGAGTCTCAGATTTGGTTCCTGCTAAGGGCACGTACCTAGGTTGTGGTTCGTCCCCGGCCCCAGTTGGGGTTATGCAGGTGGCAACTAGTTGATGTGTCTCTCTCACGTCAATGTTTCTCTCTCTTTCTTCCTCCCTCTCTCCCTCCCGCTCTATCTGAAAATAAATGCAAAAATGTCCTCAGGTGAGGATAAAAAAAAAGCTTTTTTATAAGCAATACTTATACCAGACAAAATAGGCTTTAAAACAAGGACCCAGCAATTCCAATTTTGGGTATTTATCTGAAGAAACCTAAAACACTCATTCAAAAAGATATGCACACCTATGTTCACTGCAGCATTAATAGTAGCCAAGATATGGAAGCAACCTAAATGTCCATCAATAGATGAATGGATAAGGAAGTGGTAGGTATATATATATATATATCTTTATATATATAGTGGAATATGACTAAGCCATAAAAAAAAAATAATGAGGCCTGGCCGGTTTTGCTCAGCAGTTAGAGCGTTGGCCTGCGGTCCGGAGAGACCCGGGTTTGGTTCTTGCTAGGGATGCATACCTCGGTTGCAGTTTCTCCCCGGCCCTGGATGGGTTGTGCAGGTGGCAACCACTCGATGTGTTCCTTTCACATCGATGTTTCTCTCTCTCTCCTTCCTCTCTCTCCCTCCCACTCTATCTGAACAAAAAAAATGGAAAAATGTCCTCGGGTGAGGATAAAAAAAAAAAAAAAATGAAATCTTACTATTTGCAACAACATGGAGAGTATTTTTCTAAGAGAAATATCTCAGGGGAAGACGAATACCACATGATTTCACTTATATGTGGAATCTAAAAAACAAAGCAAAACACAAACAGACTCATAGACAGATACAGACAACATTCTAATGGTTGCCAGATGGTAGGGGGTTTGAAAGGCTGGGTATAAAATGGGAAGTGATAAAGAAGTACAAATGGTAGTCACAAAATAATAATGGGGATGTGAAATACAGAATGGGGAATACAGTAAATAATATTGTCATAACTTTATGGTGTTATATTTATTGGGGGTGATCACCTCATAAGTTATATAAATGTCTCATCATTATGTTGTATACCTGAAACTAATATAATATTGTATATCAACTGTAATTGAAAAATTAAGAAAATTATTTTTAAAAATAAAATTAAGCCCAGCCAGTGTGGCTCAGTGGTTGAGTGTTGACCCATGCACTAAGAGATTGCTGGTTCGATTCCCAGTCAGGGCACATGCCCAGGTTGTAGGTCTGATCCCCAGTAAGGAGCATGCAGGAGGTGGCCAATCAATGTTCTCTCTCATCGATGTTTCTATCTCTCTCTCCTCTCGTTCTCTCTCTCTAAAATCAATAAAGAAAAAATTAATTAATTAATTAATTATATTAAATTAAAAAGAAAAAAGCTTGACATGCAAAGAGCCATGTAGAGGCAACAGCAGGTGAGAAGGCTCTGTGTCAAGATCCAGCTTGCTATGTGACAATTTCAGGAAGCTGTCAGTGTGGCCGAAGCATCTGAATGGGAGAGCTTTGTGGATCAGTAAGAAATATAGGGTTTCCTACATGCAATGGGAAGTCATTTGGGGAGTTTTAATCAGGTATAATGTGTGTAACAATGCTTAGAACTCACTATGGCTCCTCTGTGAAGGACAGATTAAAAGGCTACCTTAGTGGTCCCTGTAAGAAGTGATGATGGTTTAGCTTCAGAGGATGACAGTGGTGATGGAGATAATGAAACAGATTTAAGGTTTGTTTAGGAGAATGAAAATGGCTTACTAATGGAGTTGGGGTGAGGGGAGCACAGGAGCATAGATCCCAACCGCCTGAGTCAACTCCATCCCCAGGAGCAGGGCCTAGGCATAGCCAGAGACGAACCACCTGCTCCACCCCTGCTTTCCATCCTGTGGATTTACCTTGTAGCTTCACCCACCTCATCACCTCTGCTTCCATTCCAACTCTCTTTTTAGAGACCTGGAAAATTAGGAAGAGGTCCCCAGTAGCCTTTCTTCTAGGAAGATGTGACCCTACCCTGGCATTGTCATTCTTGGGTCATAGTTAGATTAAGTGTGTGTTTTGTTTTCCTAGCAAAGCAGGCACACACAAAAAGTGTGAAAATCAAACAGTCTTAACACAAAATTTACTGAATATAGCACTCATAAAAGTTTCTTGTATTTAGAAAATTAACATTTTTATAATAAAATATTATAAACAACTATATGCCAACAAACTAGACAATCTGGAAGAAATAGATAAATTCCAAGAGGCATACAATCTTTCAAAACTGAACCAGGAACAATCAGAGTATCTGAATAAAAAAGATTACAACTAGTGAAATTAAAGCAGTAAAAAAAACCTCAACAAATAAAAGTCTTCATAGGTGAATTTTACTGAACATTCAAAGAAGATATCCTTCTCAAACCATTCCAAAAAATCCAAGAGGAGAGAAGCCTCCCAAGCTCATTTTATGAGGCCAGCATTATCCTAATTCCAAAAGCAGATAAAGACACTTTAAAGAAAAAAAAAATTATAGGCCAATACCCCTGATAAACAAAATGCTAAAATTATCAACAAAATATTAGCACACCAAAGTCAGCACTACATTAAAAAGATCATACACCATGATCAAGTGAGATTTATACTGGGGCTGCAAGGCTGGTACAATATTTGCAAATCAATAAACGTGATATACCACATAAACAAGATGAAGGATAAAAACCATATGATTATATCAATAGATGCAGAAAAAAACACTTGATAAAATATAGTGCCCATGTATGATAAAAACTCTCAGCAAAGTGGCAATAGAGAGAACATACCTCAACATAATAAAGGCAATATATGACAAATCCACAACCAACATCATACTCAATGGTCAAAAACTAAAAGAGTTTCCTTTAAGATCAGGAAGAAGACAGGGATGTCTGCTTTCACCACTCTTGCTCAACATAGTACTGGAAGTCTTAGGCACAGCAATCGGATAAGAAGAAAGAAAAGGATTCAAATTGGAAAGGAAGAAGTAAAACTGTCATTATTTGCAGATGACATGATATTGTATATAGAGAACCCTATAGATTCCACCAAAAAACTACTAGAACTGATAACTAAATCCAGTAAAGTAAATATCCAGAAATAAGTTGCACTTTTATACACTCATAATTAACTATCAGAAAAGGAAACTAAGGTCTGGCTGGTGTGGCTCAGTGGTTGAGCATTGACCCATGCACCAAGAGGTCGCCGGTTCAATTCCTGGTCAGGACACATGCCCAGGATGTGGGCCCGATCCCCAATGGGGGGCATACAGGAGGCAGCCAACTGATGTTCTCTCTCATAGATATTTCTCTCTCTCTCTCTCTCCCTTTCTCTCTCTCGCTCTCTCCCCCTTCCTCTCTCTAAAAATTAATAAAGAAAAAAAAATAATAATAAAATAAAAAGGTTTTGTATGGCAAAGGAAACCATCAACAAAATGAAAAGACAACCCACTGAGTGAAAGAACATATTCGTCAATACATCTGATAAGGACTTAATAGCCAACATTTATATGGAACTTATAAAACTCAACACCAAAAAAAAAAAAAATCCAATTAAGAAATGAGCAAAAGGCCTGAATAGACACTTCTCCAAAAAGGACATACAGATGACCAATAAACATATGAAAGGATGCTCAACATCACTAATCATCAGAGAAATGCAAATAAAAACCACAATGAGATATCATCTCACACCTGTCAGAAAGGCTATCATCAATAAATCAACAAACAAGTGTTGGTGAGGATGTGGAGAAAAAGGAACCCTCATGCACTGCTGTTGGGAATGAAGACTGGAGCAACCACTTGGGAATGCAGTATGGAGTTGCCTCAAAAAATTAAAAATGGAACTGCCTTATGATATATCCCAAATACTAATTCAAAAGAATATATGCACCCCTATGTTCATTGCTGCGTTCTTTACAATAGCAAAGATTTGGAAGCAGCCCAAGCACATGTCAGTAGATGAATGGATAAAAAAGCTGTGGTACATCTACACAGTGGAATACTATTCAGTTGTAAAGAAAAATAGAAAATCTTACCTTTTGCGACAGCATGGATGGACCTGGAGACCATATGCTAAGTGAAATAAGCCAGTCAGAGAAAGACAAGTACCATATGATTTCACTCATATGTGGAATGTAATGAACAAAATAAACTCACAAAGTAGAGACAGACTCAGGTATACAGAGAACAGACTGACATCTATTAGAGGGGAGGGGTTGAGGGCTGTGTGAGAACCGTGAAGGTATTCAGCAAAAATAAAAAGAGAAAGACTCATAGACATAGACGACAGTGTGGTGATTGCCAGAGGGGAGAGGGGTGGCAGGAGGTAGAAGAAGGGAAAGGGGGATAAATGGTCATAGAAGAAGACTTGACTTGGGGTGGTGAACACACACTACAATATACAGATGATGCATTGTAGAATTGTATACTGGAAACATGTATAATTTTATTAACCAATGTCACTCCAAAAATTAAATTAAAATAAAAAATAAAATAGTATGGTAATGAGAAAAAAAGAGAACATTTTATGGTAGTATTTTTTATTGTTAATTACACAGAGAGGGGGTATCATAACCTTTGCAGTGCACTGAAATCTTTCCCTGCAATCCCAGGTGCCCCAGGCCAGCTCTGCAATTGGAGACCAACTGCACCAGAGTGCCCCTTTTAGCGGTATTTGGGGAGTGAAACCTGAGGAATCACCCTGACAAAGTCCTTTCTCTTGAAAATAGTGGTGGGTAGAGAAGCTTCCTCTTTGTGACGACTAGATGGCGCCAGACGCTAAGCTTTTTGTCCCCCATGGAGGAAGAAGATAGTCCTTCCTTTGAAATATAAAGTGAGAATATTGTTGTGAAAGTAGTTGCCATAGTTGAATGCCAACTCTGTGCCAAGCACTGCATGAGAAGATTCACATCATTTATTCTACATGGTGAATGAGCACCTATTACGTGGAGCAGAGAAAGCAATAAGAAAGTAAACATACAATATGTCAAGTGGAGAGAAATGGTGGAAGAAGCATGAAGTATGGTCGGGGGTGGGGAGGGATGTGCTGTTTTATGCAAAGTAGCCAGGAAAGCCTTGCTGAGGAGTTGAAATGTGACATGTTAGTGCTCACAATGCCATTTTATATAAGGGGAAATGGAGGCTAAGAAATGTAAAATAAGTTGCCTATTGTATCCTGGAGGTGGAAATGAGCATGGACAGGGTACAGGGGAGACTGGGAGGAGGTTTGATAAACTCTCCCCATCCCTGCTAGACAGAGAGGCTCCACAGGACCCACAGTGGTAGTGGGAGCCCTTCCCCACCTCCAGCCCTAAAACCGCACCCCTCACCTGTGAAGCAGAACCACAGCACTCCTAGGGTGGTGGCCATATGCACACCTGTGCCAGGACTGCCCATCTTCCTCTGAGGCAACTGACAGCTGGGCTCTTGGTGGCGGAAGGCTGCCCCTGCCTGTGAGGAAGAGGAAGTGAAGCCTTCGTCTCAGAAGGCCCTCCCCAGGCATACTCACCTCATCTCCCCTGGACCAGCTCGGAGCAAAGCTGCAGCTGCCAGCAGGGAAGTCCTTCCTGCCACACACCCACAAGGCTCTCTGCTGAAGGAAGTTTTAAGAGATGCTAGTAGGAGGGAATTGAGTCACTGGGGAGGCTAAACCTAGGGAGGTGGGCTGGAACCCACCCTTTCAGAACTATAATGCAAATATAAGGAAGAGAAGCAAGTAGAGGCAAGGTGGGCCTGCTCAGGGCAAGGATATGTTCAGAGTGGTTTGGGGAGAGGAGGAGCTAAGGCTGGAGCTAGACTAAGACATAGACTAAGAGCTCTGGCCTTTACGCTGAAGGCAGCTGGGAGCCATCAAAGATTATGGAATGGGGGAAAGGATGTGGTCCTAGGTATGCTTCATAAAGATTACTCTGACCCTGGCCAGGTTGGCTCAGCAGTTAAGAGTATCTGCCCAAGGACCAAAGGGTCTTGGGTTCGATTCCCTGTCAAAGGCATGTACCTGGTTGCAGGTTCGATCCTCAGCCCTGGTTGGGGTCATGCAGAAGGCAACCAATAGATGTGTCTCTCTCACATTGATGTTTCTGTCTGTCTCTCTCCCTCCTTCATTTCCACTGTACCTAAAAATCAATGGGAAAAATATCCTCGGTTGAGAATTTAAAAGAAAAGAAAAAATTACTCTGAAGGCATCAGGAGAATAAATGAGCTGAGCTGGACAGAAGAGACAAAGACAAAGAAGGCCTGGGAGAAAGAAACGGGACTAGGGGACGTGGGGACAGAGGAAGGGAGCAGTCGGGGGTCCACAGTTTTGCGTCCAGTGACCAGGTGAGGTGCTCACTGAGATAGAATGTGGCAAGGTTCAGTGCAAGGCAAGGTTCAGTGACATTAGCATGGTTTGTGCAGGAACTTCCAGGGGCAAGTTCTAGGAGGCAGCTAGCTGGGTGTACGAGTGTGGGGACAAGAGACAGGGAACATTTGCTAGTTTAATACATATAGACTGAGTGACCAAGACGATTAGAAATGGAAGAGGCTGCACTTTTGGGGCTGACCCCCAAGACTAGAAGCAGGACTGAGTGAGAGGTAGGTCTATGGCCTTAGGTGAGACCTCAGCAGGACCCCAGACGTCCCTGGGTCCAGCCCTGCTCCCAATCCTGGCTGTGCCCAAGGTGTCTGACTTGGGCAGACTGCTCAAACCTTTTCTCTGTGTCCCACAGTTGCTGCCTGGTTATTCATGCCAAACCACGTAGCCAGTGTTGATCTATTCTATCCAACACTGATCAGCAAGCCTATAAATGATTTCATGTTCCCATAGCCCCCAGGGGAGACAGGCAAAACTACTTGATCCCATTTTGTAAGAGGAAAAAAAAAATAAAAGCCCAGATAAGTGAAGTGAGGTATTAATGTGATGTAATTTGCCAATTAGCACAGCTGAGAAGTATTTTGGTTTCCAACACCACCTTTCTGCCCTTCCACAGGGCAAAACTACAGCATCGGTTCCAGTCACAGGCAGCAGGCTTCAGCTCTTCTAATCCCAGCCAAGCACTTCTCAAGCCCCACACACCCAGAAACTGGGCTAAGCATCCTGCCAGGCCCCTTCCCAGTTGTCCACTGTGGGGAAACCCTGAGCAGCCACTTCCTTCCCAGAGACTTCCGGTCCAAACCCGGTGGCCCAAAGCCTGGCTGGTCCAAACCTGGTGGCCCAAAGCCTGGCTACCAGTTGAGTCAGCAGCCTCCCTGCTCCATTCACAAAGGAATCCTTGGCAAGTACCACATCCTGCCTACAAGGGCCGCCACGGCCCACAGGAAAAGCTAGCGGCCTGCCGTTTCTGCCTGCGCCCTAAGGAAGCATCCAGGACTAAGGATTAAGAAGCTCCTAGATATAAGAAATGTAACAGTCTGAGGAATAGGGTAGACCCAGAAACACGGAAGTAGGGTAAAGACTGACAACCCTCAGAAGAGGGGGTGGTGGGGGGAGGGAAGAGATAAACCACAGAACTTATATGCATGTACGCATAACCAATGGACATGGACAACAAAGCCGGGGAGGGGGCAGGGGGATGGGGAGGAGGGTGTCAATGGGGTAAAAAAGGAGAAACATCTGTAACAAAAATAAAATAAAATATAAATAAATAAAACTAAAAAAAAAAAAAAAAAAAAAGAAGAAGCTCCTAGATTCCAAGTCTCCCTCACTTTCACCCCCAGACAAACCAAGGCCTTTGTGTTCTTCCTGGGCCCTTCCCTCACTCTCCTGGCTGCTTCTGCCTACACCTCCCGCCTGACTCCTGCCACCCTCATCACTGTCCCTGCTATCTCTACTGTGTCCCCACCCATAACCCCATTCTCTACAGTGTTCCTCTTAGGACCTAAGACATGAACCTGTTCACATCCTTCCCCTTGCTCAAGAGCCTCCCATGGCTCCCTATTTAGTACCGAAGTTAACCCACAGTTCCCTGCCCAGCATTCAAGACCTTTCACCTCCATACATCAAGTTAATTCTTGCCACTGGGGTTTTACTCCCTGGGGTTCTTGGGAATGCCTGCCACCTCTGTGAATGGGGGGGGAGGGATCAGGGAGCACCTCTCTCCTGATCAGACCTATCAGGGCTCCCCAAAGGCTGAGATTCCCTTTCCTCCAGCGGAAAAATGAGGGTAGTTCAGGGGTGGGTGCTGGGCTTGCTCCCTTGCCTCCTTTCCTAGACTCTGGACCCAGGAAAGTTCCCACCTTTGTGACTTACCCTGGGAATAAGCCTGCCGGCCCAGAACTGAGGAGGCCTAAGAATTCCACAGCACCCAGTGTCTCCACCACAACAGCTGGGCCCCCAAGTGCAGAGGGAAGAAAGGAAAAAACACACCTGGGAGATGAGGTGCTGCTCAGTGAATGGAAGCCTGCCCAGGAACAGAAAGCCAATCACTGCCCTTGGGGACAGATGAACCACCCTGCCCAGTACTCAGCCCTTCTCCAGACCCAGGACCTCAGACTGCATTTATTTGTACCACCCTACCCACCTTTTCTACATAGGGGAATTCTCACCCCCAGGCAGGACCTGCCCTGCAGTCCGTAAGTGCCATCCTCCCAGTGAGTCACTAGCCAGCCATTCCCCACTCCTCCTTCTCCTTCCCCTATCCCAGTCCTGGCTGAACGTGGGAACTCCAAGAAGCTCTGCCAGGAAAGACCTGAGTGCCTGGACTTTCTGAAAGAAGCAGGAGTTAGGGGCCCAGCCTACCTTTAGCCTGAGAGTACAGCAGGCACATCCAACCCCAACAGAGGTAGAGTCACAGGGACACTCCTGAGAAATGACCCAAGATGTGACCCCGATAAACCAAAACCAAAAACAACAAGGGCTGAGACTGGGCTCTATACCAAGATGCCCTAGACTTGGAGGTGCCCAAGAGGGACTCCTTGCCCCAACCATGGCCATCAGCAGCTGCCCATATTCTCCAGCCTCCTCCCAATCCCTACAGGGGCTGCTTGGGCAACACTTCCCACAAAGAAGGCAAGAAGGGTCAAGCCATGTAAACAGGGTCAATCTATTCTAATCAGCAAAGTACAGAAGCACCACTTATAAAAATAGTAGTTAAGCCTGAGGCAAGCCCTGGCCAGTTTTGCTCAGCAGTTACGTCAACCCACAGACCAATGAGTCTCGGGTTCAATTCCAGCCAAGGGCACGTACCTCGGTTGTGGTGTCCCTGGCTCTGGTCAGGTCGTGCGAGAGGCAACCAGTCGATGTGGCTCTATCACATCGATGTTTCTCTCTGTCTCTCTCTCCCTCCCTCCCACTGTTTATGATAATAAATAGAAAAGTCCTTGGGTGAGGAATTAAAAAAAAAAAAAAAAAAAGCCTAAGGCAAGCTGCACACCTAGACTGCCCAGGTACTTCAGCCAGTCTATATATATATATATATATATATATATATATATATATTTTTTTTTTTTTCTTAAGCCAGTTTGAGCTAAGTTTCTATTACCTGCAACTGAAGGAGTCCTTGAATATACATTCATTCATGCATTCAGTAATGCATTTAACTATTAGGCTGGTACTGGGGACAGAGAGATTGAAAGTGGCAGGAGAGAATAATAGAATAATAGAGAACCAATCATAGTGGGGCACCAGCCATAGTTATATGACATGCTGAATATCCTTGCTCTGTTTAACCAGAACGATTGCTTTGTTCTGGTTAAAGAAAGCCCATTCTGACCTGGCTGGGAGCTGTACGCCCTGGGAGTTTACCTCAGGAATGCTGTCCATTCTCCTTACCTGGGAACAAGGGAAAACTGTTCAACATCATAGGAAGACCAACAACCTTGGGGCCCTGGAGGCAACCCTTTGTAGCCCCCAGCCAGCATTACTTCTCCAGGCCTGTAATCTGTAACCATTTTACCCACTGTTACTCCTTTTTGCCCAACTGGTTTACCCATTGTTATTCCTTTTTGCCTACCTGCCCTTCCCCATCTAACTACCCAATATGAGCAACTGGCTCTCGAGGGAGTTCAGAGCAGATTTTTCAGGGATGACCCACTGCTCTCCCATATTGCTGGCAACGTTGGAATAAGTATTCATATACGATTCCCCTTGTTTCTGCTTAATTGGCTCAAGTAGTGAAAGGCAGCCCAGACCCACTAGTTGTCCAGTTTCAGGGTGGCTAAAATCAAGGAGCCTGCATTCCTATGGGGAAGTGGGCATGCATCGCTGCAGTGCAGTGTGGTGCACTACTTAACATGCAGTGAGGGTCACTTGGAGGCACCTCAGAGACATGATAACCCTGAGTCCTGAAAAATAATTAGCACCCCCCAGGTAGACAGACTGGGAAAGGTGGCCCCTCTCCAGCCCCAGTCCCCTTGGCACTGCCTGTCTGCCTCTCAGCCGATCGATCTGAAGAGGTAGAAAGCGAGCCCAAAGTTTGAGTTTCTAGTCCTAGCTCTGACACTTTACTGTGCAGACTTCACAGGTGACTTCC